TAATATGTAACAATCTATGAAATTTATTTGCAGTTAATTTGTCCTGAAGAAAATTTTAACAATCCATAAACAATAGCTATGCTTTAACTAACAGTTCATTACATAGAAGTCTCTAATTTATGAATATAAAGTAATTACTTTGTGGATATGCAATGGTAATGGACATTAATTACTACAAAAGTGAGTTACATCATAATAAAAATCTGATAGATTAAAATGAAAAACTTTGAGCTACCCTTTCGGCAGACAGTATGAATTATAATGCAAGATTTCAAAGTTAACCAGTATACAAATACTAATAGAGGATCTTTAAAAATTTTAGGTAAAAATCAAAACAACAGATGGAAAAGCAGCTCCTTGTTTAGAAGCACTAGTTACTATAAGATGTTTTAAATCAGCAAGGTCTTGAGCCAAGGCCAGTTTGGCTCAGCAGTTAGAACGTCGGCCTGCAGTCCAAAGAGTTGTAGGTTCGATCCCAGTCAAGGGCATGTACTTTGGTTGTGGTTCAGTCCCTGGCCTTGGTTGGGGTCGTGCAGGAGGCAGCCAGTTGATGTGTCTCTCTCACATCTATGTCCCCCCCCACCCCCACCCCCGTCTGAAATAAATGGAAAAGTGTCCTGGGGTGAAGTTTAAAAAAATAAATAAATCAGCAAGGTCTTTATCAAATTCATTCTGCCTCAAATTACAAAGCAAGTAAATGTCAACACTGTTAGAAAAAAGTCTTATTCTATCCACCAAGTTATAATAAATAAGTTTTTGCTAGATAAGACATTTTATTGTTATGTGCCATAAAATTATTATAATAAGGATATAATTCACCTATGTTTTTAGTTAGCAGTTAAATAAAAATGTGGAAAAATTTCAAAATAATAACAAAGTCTATGATATGGGTAGTCCCCTTAGATGTCATGTCCTTAAGCAATAAACAACCTGAATAACTGTCCTTGGCTAATCTAAACATTTGTGTGGCCATTAGAGTTAAAACGTGGTTCCAAGCACATGGAAAACAATCTGTGGAGGAAATGGAGGAAAGTCTAAGGCATCGTGAGACCTGTGTTCGGGTGCTCCTCGTGCTACTTGCTGCGACCTTGGGTGATTTACTCACCTCTCCCTGGGAATTCTCAGTCACCTCTTCTACAAATGGGAATAACTACACCTAACCCTTCCAACTGCTACCTGGAGGCCATAGGCGATGTCCCCAGTTCTGTGCAGTGAATGGAATTAAGAGATGTGCATGAGGTTTTATTAGGCACTTGATAAAATACTTTCTCAGATCTCTTATCCTTTGAGACAGCATGGAGGGACCTGGAGAGTATTATCCTAAGTGAAACAAGCCAAGCAGAGAAAGACAAGTATCACACATCTCACTTATTTGTAGAATATAATGAACATAACAGTCTGAGAAACAGGGTGGACCCAGAGACATGGAAGTAGGGTACAGACTGACAACCCTCAGAAGAGGGGGGAGAGGGGAGAGGAAAGAGATAAACTACAGAACTTATATGCATGTACGCATAGCCGATGGACATGAACAACAAAGCTGGGGAGGGGTGGAAGGGGATGGGGAGGAGGGTGTCAATGGGGGAAAAAGAGACATTTGTAACAAAAAATAAGTTAATGTAAAAAAATGTGCTTTCTTAAAAAATTGTATTACATTTTCCAAATCGAATGACGTATACGTGCAGGGCCAGTACCGGGTCGTCATTCTGGTAAATTTGGGATCAGTTCCTGTTAAGTCACCTCTGGACAGTTGTTAGTTTCCCATGTTCACGGGTGACCTTTCCTGTAGGAGCCCAAGAGGCTGACGTTCTGATTTTCTTAGGAAGCTAAATGTGAAGGCAGTTGTTCGAGGCTGCCAAGAAGCCACGGTGAAAACTGAAAACATTAAGGTGATTTTTCAAGCAACCTCCAACCAGTAAATGACTCTGTTTTAAACCTCAAGAGGTTTATAAACACAGTGTTTCTATTTTGAGAAATGAAATCTTGCAAAAACAACCAGAAAAACATTTAAAGTCCCAGAGATGGTGAGAATGTTTACTTCAGAGGAAGCCAAGAGGAAGTTTGCTTGAACATCTTCCTCCCCCCGTTCCCGATGGCCCTGCTTTTACAGCAGTCCATCTGTGTGGCCAGCCTGGGAACAGGGAGTAGCCAACCTTTTACTCATCCATCACGCATTTACTGTGGGCCTGCTACGTTCCAGGCACTGGCCTCTGTGCTGGAACGATAAGTCCGATCAGACATGATTTGGTTCACACAGAACTCTTGAAGTCTGGTTTCTGAACAGTCTTTCTTGTACCGTGTTCCCAAGGTTCTGTCCCTCCTTACTTCTGCCAACCAAGGAGACAGCTTCCCTTCATTTTCAGGTGCCCAGTGTGTCTTTTACCAATGATACCAGATGTTCATTCAGGAGAAGATGACTTCATGTTCCAACTGCTGTGCCTTGTCTCATAGCACCCCGAGCACCCTGGTATGTCCATGGTCTCAGCACTGCCCATAGGAATCCTTCCCGTTGTTCAGGACCAGCACAAATGCCACTTCCTCCATGCAGCCTTCCCTTATCACCCAAGTTAGAAATGACTTGTCTTTCTTTCCGATCCAATAGTTATTTGTACCTCATTTTAGCACGTACCATACACCTGCCTTTTGTTACAGCTGTTGGGGGTCAATGGATATCTCCCCTGATAGGCTAGGATGGGAAGTGAGGTGGGAGAGCACTCTCTGAGCCCAGGGCCCATGTACAGGTTCTCTCTACCTCTGCAGCCTTACCCTGCTGGGTACATACCCCCCCCCCACACACACACACACACTGGCTGGATTACCCTCCCCCCCACACACACACACACTGGCTGGATTACCCCCCCACACACACACACACACACACACACTGGCTGGATTGGATTTTTCCCCCTTAATTTTAGCTTCTCAGTCTCAAACTCCTCTGTTGGTGGCACTGCCATCATGGGTCCGTGCATGGCTCTTATATTCTATTTATTTACTATTTTTTGGCCTCCTTTACTCTTCGTGCCCATTCCCTCCCACCCAGCCATCCCTCTTCCGCCACAGACACATAACCCCCTATTCTAGCGCTGCTGCTGCCGCCAGCATTTGGATTCTGCTGGAGGACAGCCTGGAGGGGGCTGGCGGTCCTGTGGGATCCCCTCAGAGGTCTCAGATCTTTGACCCTGGAGGATCATGTTGCCTTTTGGAAACAGCCAAAGGCCATTTAGAGTGAGAGCTGGTTAATGAGATGAGTAGTCCATTTTAGATTTTTAAAAAGTAACACTGACTTCTTACAATTTAAATTGCAAAACTACTTTAATAACAATTCCCCTAATGCTTCACATATATTCACATATGTGCAAAGTGATATTTGTACATATTTAATAATTGCACCATCATTTGAAGGGCAAAAATGAGAAACAGTCTAAATGTCAACTACCAGGAGATCAATTAAATAAACCGTAGGCATCTATAGAATAAAACAGTCAGCAGCTGGGAAAAAAAATGAGAAAGTTCTGTACATATTAATAATAAATTAACTCCAAGATATATTAAGTGAAAAAGCAAGAGGCAGAACAATGTATATAGCATGCGATTATCTGTAGGAAAAAAACTGTGTTCTGTACGTGTCTGTATGTCTGTGCGTGTCTACGTGTTTGCTCATATGTACATATGTACATTCGAATTGCTGTTGTCTCCAGGGAGGGAAATCAGCTGGCTGGGGTAAAGGGTGGAAAAGCAGTTTTTCAAGACTCTCCTTCTGTACCTTTTACATTCTGAACTCGATGAATGGTACCTAATTAAAAAAAAAAAAAACACGTTTAGAAGCCCCAAACTGAAAAAAATGATGATAGTTCCCCTTCTCCCAAAATTAAAAATAAAAACAATTCCTAACATTTATCGTCCCAAAAAGTGTTCTTAGTAGTCCTTGAGGAATCGTCCGATTATCAGAAGAAATGTACACTGTATAGGGTGACGTGCAAAGGGACACTAGGACAGAATGGGACACATATGCTAAAAGAACTAGTCGTTTTTGTAACCGTGCCTTATTCTTCTCATTCTTGCCTTGCTTCACAAATAGGAAAACGGGGTCCAGATGAGTTATCCAAATCATCTGGGCTCGTGTTGGGCAGGGATTTCCCAACGGGTCCTGCAGATATCTTTTGTGTGTGTATAGGAGGAGACAGGGGCTGGGGGGACAGAGGAGGACAGATCCTCTCATTTGGTCTCAACCACACCTCTCTCCTCACCTCCCACCTAAAGCAGAGGCTGTAGGCCACGGCAGGACATAAGGTTTGGGTCTGCACCTTCTCCACGCTCTCCCCAGGCCACCCACATGCCCAGGCAGGGCCCCTCCTCCAGGATCCTCCAGGACATTGCTCTGTTTGGTAGGTACAGCTCCTCTTTCTCCAAAAGTGGCATTACCCAGTTCAATTTTCTTACCTTATGACATAATTTGGTTGATTCAGAGTGACTTTCAGTTGTTTCGAATTCACTTCTTCAGAGATTAAAGATTTGCCAACAACCAAGGGATTCAGAAGTCTGTGGCGGAGGCTCGCCATGATCCGGCAGAGGCTGAGGGGCCCCGGTCAGGGTGCTGTAAAGGAGTCTTTGGCATTCATTCATTCATTCATTCATTCATTCATTCATTCATCACACGTACATGGAACCTATTCATGGCGTGAGGCATTGCTCTAGGCAATGGAGACAGAGTGATGACCAAAACAGACACGCACTGTTCTCATGGAGCTTACATTCTTGTGAAGAGAGTCTGACAATAATGAAGTAAACGAATGAGTGATCCAGGTAAATCCATCTACTGATGGATCAGAGGGCGATGTGGCAGAGAGGCTGAGGAGCTGCCTTGGGCTCACGTGCTGGGGAAGCTCTATCCGAAGATGCCTTCCTTAAGAGAGGAATGCTGTCTCAATGCCTTTCGAGGCCCTCCCCTCCGGGGGTGCGATTCTAACGTTCTCCCCATCCAACAGGTTCCTGTGAAGGGATAAAGAGGTGGAAGAAAAAAGGGGTGCCAGCTTCCTGGGGTCCTGCGTCTGCCAGCTGCTGCGAGACACATCTAAGAAATTCTGCTTTCACATAAAGGGGTCCACCTGTCCCAGGAACCTCAGTACCTGGGACAAGAACCTCCTAAGTGGACCTCTTATCAAAATGAATTGGACCAATTCTAGTTTCCAGGACTCCAGAGCCAGCAATGCCTCCCTGACCAACCCCACCCCACTGCTCTACTTGGGTAAGACCAGCTGAAAATAGGCAAAGTGGCTATTACTGTTAAATAATCATTTGAACACTTAGGTCTTAACCCTGCAATGTAGGTATTCATGCTATGTCCATCTCACAGATGAAGACAATGAGGCTCAGATGATTAAGTGACTGTCCTAAGATCACACAGTTAGAAAGTGCCTGAGACCCATGACTCTAAATCTCACCCCCACTGACCCTCCTGCCTTCCCAGGGCATGTCCTTGTCTTCTGACCATGGACAGACATTCTCATGCTGTCTGTACTTCTTGCTGTGAACAGGTGCGCCCTACCCCACTCAGCTCTCGCAGCTGGTGCCCCAGACTTCTCTCTCATTGCTCCAGACTTACATGTGACATCTTTCTCCCCACCCTGCTCCACCCCCCCCCCCCCCATCAAGTCCTGTGACTTGATACCTCATCTTGGGTGTCAGTGCTGTGGGCACTGGGACGATCTGGTTTCTAAGGTCCCCCCCTACTCCTCACACAGAAGGTGGGCAGGAGCTGTCAAAGAGAAACTTGGTGAGGTCAGCCAACTTACTCAGAAGCGGGACATGAAAAGAGACAGAGAGGAAGTGAGCCATTAGGTGCCCGACACAGTTCCATCTGGCCTTAGTGCCGCAGGAGGCTGTCATTCTTACTGCTCCCTCCCCTGACTGCTATCTATTGTCAGATTGCCCTAGAGATCCTGTACAACAGGGTTTGGCAGAAATAGGTTTACAGCTGTGAGTACTTGAAACAGTGTATTCTTGTATCATTACTTACTAATGATTGTAGTATTTTCCATATGAACCACTGTAAACCTACTTTTGCGCCACCCTGTATGTCCCCTTCACCCCACCTTGGCCTGCTGTGGGGTGTTGAACCACACAGCTCCATGTTATGGGGGAAGAAATCGGAAGAGGCCTGAGTCAAGGAAAGAGCTTTTGGGTTGGAGTTGATAACATGGACTCAAGTCCTGGATCCGGCACTTAGCTGGGACAAGTGACTTACCCTGAGCTTCCTCACCTGTACAGTGGGAGAGTTCACCTAGATATGTTATAAGATTCCTTCTAACTCTACAAATCTAGGGATAGACGTGGCTGGAGAGGGGGTGGGCTTGGGGTCTCCATCCCCCGAAGCAGAAGTTTTTGCAAAGTGTGAATAATAGAAGCCCCACCCCCACCAGAGCATGGGCAGGCTCTCGCACCTGCCTCTTCCACCTAGTTCCAGCCCAACTAGCTGATGTCCTGACCCCTTTCCACCCCCTCACATACCTTTCCAGGGTACCAAAGAGCTGCGCCATCTTGGTTTTATTTTTTCTGGACATCCTGTCATGTATAGAAACCTTCACCCCTTTGCAAGAATCATAGAACGCAAGAGTAAAACATTCACACAAAGGTAGCAATGTGTCATGTGCTTAAATGCACAATTTTAAGTCAGAGAGACATGGGTTCAAGTCCAACTATGACCCTGAGCTGGTTTCTTTACTGTAAGATGGGAATAAGAATCATTCCTATCTCATTGCCTATTTATGAAGATTAAGTGAGATAATAAATAGGCCCAACATATATTAAGTCCCCAATAAAGATCCATGTGGATCCTGTAGAGGTCATTTGCATGTGTGTTGTCTTATCAGTTTCAGATGCTATAACAAATTACTGTAAATTGGGTGGCTTATAAACATAAATTTATTTCTCATAGTTCCGGATGCTGATTAAGTCAAGATTAAGGCACTGGCACATTCAGCCCACTTCCTGGTTCATAGACAGCTGTCTTCTCACCGTGTCCTCATTGGGTGGAAGGGGGGAAAGGGGCTCTCCAGGGCCTTATTTATTTATTTATTTAATTTATTTATGTTTATTATTTTGTTGTTGTTGTTAATCCTCACCCAAGGATATTTTTTACATTGATTTTTAGAGAGAGTGGAAGGGAGGTATTGAGGGGAGAGAGAGAGAGAGAAACATCGATGTGAGGGAGACATCAATTGGTTGCCTCCTGCACATGCCCTGACTGGGGCTGGGGATTGAACCTGCAACCCAGGCACGTGCCCTTGACTGGAAATTGAATCCATAACCCTTTGATGTATGGGCCGATGCTCTAATCACTGAACCACACTGGCTAATGTGAGGGTCTCTTTTATAAGGGTACTAATCCATTCATGAGAGGTCCATTCTCTTGATCATCTCCAAAAAGCCCCATCTCCTAAAACCATCACATTGGGCTTAAGTTTTAATGAATGAATTTTGGCCGGACACAAACATTCAATATAGAGCCTGTGTGTAAAAATTACTCCCAAATCTCCTTTTCTTTTCCTCTCTGTCCCTTTGTTCAGAGAACATCACCACCCTGAAGCCAGAGACTCCTCCTGAAGAACATAACAGGTAGGTGAGGGAAGGGCTGGACCTATGGAGGAGTATTGAGGATTTTGGAGAAAGGGTCTTCTTGACCTGCATGTGGAGATTGGTGTGAATGGGACCATGACCATGGTGATTGGGGCCGAGATGAAAGGCTCAAAGTGGAGGCAGGAGATGGAAGCCCAGAGGTGGGAGAGCTCCTACGGGAGCGGGGAGGCCCCAGGGCGATTTTGCCGGTGATCACCACCAAAGCTAGAAGGGCAGCTAGAGTGTCCTCACTTCTCTTACTCGCTTCCCTCAGCTTCGGCACAGCAACCACAGCTGTCTGCATCTCCATTGGTGCTATGGCCCTCGTCTTGCTCCTAGTGGGTCTCTTGTCCATTACTTTGAAGAAATGGAAGCATGAGAGTGAGTTGAATGAGTTGGCCCTGGATCTGGAAATGTAGAAAGGGGGGGAACTGGGGCTGGAGATGGGGGTGTGTTTCCTGTGGGGCAGCTTTGGGGAAGGGGAAGGGTGGGTAAGCTCTGGGGTCTGTTCTTTGGAGTCGCCATGGTCTCTGCATGTAGCAGTAAGATTTATTTATGACACAAATTTCTTATGCTGAAAGCCATATATATGAGCAATCTGCATATACACTTATTTCTTATGTGTATCAACTAAAAGAAATATTGATGCCAAATAATCTCATCGAAATAATAACCAAAATTATGAAGTGTACCAATACTCTCCCTGGCTCTTCTTGGGCATTTAGCTCAGTCTCAGAGAGGAACAATGGATTGAACATGGTGGATTTTGAATTTCCAAGTTCAACCCTAAGTTCAGCAATCGATCAAGTAATGATAGTAACTGCCCCAACTCAGGCTGACTCTGAGTTTATTCATTTTTGTAGGACTTTTTAAGAAACAACTGAGGCATCAGACCGACTTTCTCCACAGATCCTCGGTAAGGAAAACGTTGAGTCTTACCTAGAAGGCTCCCAGTCATCTCCACCACGATGCCATGCTCTGTCTGAGATAGACCCTAGACAGGGGGTGGTGAGGTGAGGCAGAGAACAGCTCTAAAAGAAATGCTTTTGAAAATCAAGGGGGATCCAGGCCTTGCTCAGCAACACCCCAGTGTTCCACTTGCTGTCCTGTAGGGAGCCTCGTAGCGGGTTTTGTCTCTGGGCGTCTTTTGTGCCCAGCCGTGTGACTCTTAACAGGTCTCCTATCTCTAAAGGACCTTTCCTGCCATGCTGACGCCATATATTCCAACGTGATCAACCTGGCTCCCTGGAAAGAGGATAACTTCGCTGTTTATGCCAACATGCCCCCTTTTAATGGCCCCAGGAGGACATCGCCAGACCAAGTGGAATACGCCTCCATTGTATTCCACTGATGGGAAGCCGATGGAGAGTCAGACCTGTGCCCTGCTGGACCCCGATACTGCTTTTGCTTTAGGGGTGTGTGTGTGCGCGCACTTTAAAAAATGCATAAAAATATTCTGATGGAGGTCAATGTGTATCTTCTTATTTATTGGAAGCCAAGTACATGTCTAAGGGAAAGGAGTGACGCAAGAGACAAGGGACGTGCTCTTCCCAACCCCAGGTTTCTGAGACAGACCGGGCAACAAAGGAGCCCTTTCCAGCTCCTGCTCCACTTCAGGCTAGGGCTAAGGAGGGAGTTCATACTAGTCAGGGCCCAGCTTCTGGATTTTGCCTCTCCTGTTCTGCCCTGACAGGAATTAGCACCCTGTAGGAGTTAATTACGAGTCATGCCATATCTGTGGAGACGTGAATGGCTGATACCTTGAATGTCTGGATAATATACCGAGTGGAGGGATGTTCTTTACTGAGGGAGTGAGACTTGATGAGCACAAAGAGTGAGTTCCCACCTAGGGAAGGAGTTGGGGAAGGAGTACCCAGTGGAAGTGGGCTACATGTCACCAATGACGAGGGACAACACCCGCGGGAACTTTGGGAGATGTCTGAACTTTGCAGTTGATTCACTCCTTCCCTTCATTTAAAAACATTTGTTAAACACCACCATAATCTAGACTTTGGGACTATAGCAGTGAACCCAACAAACAAATCCTTGTCCTCATGGAGCTTACTATTTAGGAGAGGAAGACAAGCAATGACCAAATAAACAAGCAAATACACAGACTGCCAGATGGTGGCATGTACTAAGGAGAAAAATAGAGCCAGTCCTAGCAGGTGGGGCCCGCAGGATGGGAGTGAGTTACTATTAGATGGTTGGGGAAGGCCTCACAGACATTTAACCTAAAGGAAGTGAGAGAGTGAGACCTGAGGATAAATGAGGAAGAGCATTCAAGAAGAAGGAACAGCAAGTGCAAAGGCCCTGAGGTGGGGTGAGCCTTACATGGTCCAAGAATAGCAAGCAGGTGAGTGTGTCTGGAGTGGAGGGGGTAGCATAGGAAGATGAGATCTGCGAAGCAAATCAGCTCCAGAGTTTGGGAATCAATGATCCAAGGCAGTTTCCCATAGCATTGTCTGTGGAATGTTAGTGCAGAGCCCCCTGGTCCTTTGGAGATTGTGCCTTTGCTTGTACCACTCTCTGTACCCTTGCCACTCTCACTTGTTAATCTCCAGATTTCTCTTTTATTGAAGCCAGATTCCTGATCTCCACTCCACCCTACTCCGGTCATCACCCAAGGCAACTTCAGTGGCAACATAGACAGACAATCCTCCCTCCCTCTGGACTCAATGTTCCCCAAAGTGTGTTCTTCTAGTTATGGGCGATGTTCATGGGTGTTGGGATGAAGAGCTTAAATGAGATCTATGGCTAAATAAGTTTGGGGAATATGAACAAGCAAAGAGTAATGGAGAAAAATGACCCGGCCCGCAGGTCGATCAACGAGGACTCTAGAGGGGGAGTGAAGATGAGGAGGGACAAGAGACACGAGAAATGGAGACAAGACAGGATTCTGATCAAGTCTCGTTTATTCAGGGGGAGTTCACATTATATATAGGGGAAAAACAGGTGAAACAGTTAATGAGGATCCCACCTGAAGCAAATTCCAGTAAATACCCCAGGTGGAACAAATAAGCAAAGAATGGAGTAAACAATTATCTAGAGGAATGCAGACACTGTATTCAAAGAGACCCCCGCCCTGGGGCCGGAGACAGCAGAGCAGACTTTAACAAGATGGATGCCATGCAAATGGTCTCCCACAGAAAAAAAACAACAAAAACAAAGCTTTCACTTCCAACCAGAGCTGATGGAAGCCACTACCAATAAGAAAACACATACCCTATAGGTCCATCCACTTAGAGGGACTGGCTAGGGAAGGAGAAGGTGGGAAGGGAACACGACCATTTCCAAGCCTCTGCCACCTTTTGTGTGTTCATAAGGGGCACCTCCCAGAATAGAGAGCCCTTTGTTTGAGCGGAGATGTATGGTGATCACGTGCCCTGGTTTGCTGGGGACTTTCCTGGAGTATGCCTGTTGTCCTGGGAAAATTGTTACAAGGTCCCCTTTCACTCTCAAAAGTATCATAGTTTGAACACTACATTATGTGGTCACCTGTTAACAAGGCTTTGCAAGTGCCAAAGTCGGTCTGAGAGGTCAAACAAGGAAGGGAAAGCGGTGCTCGGTACAGTAAAGCAGCAGAAGGGCACTGGGTAGGCGAGGAGGCTGGAAGAATGACGAGCTGGGGAGATAACTAGGGAAGTTTCTAAGGAAAACGGGCCTAAGATCACAGAACAGACTCCCACTGCTACAAACCTCAGCAGTCAGTGCAGGTATTTAGGGGAAGGGAAAATCATGCAAAGGAGACTGAAATCCACATCTTGGTCAGCATAGAGCAGAAATAAGGGGGAAGTGGGAAGAGGTGCCATATGAATGAGTTGGACAATTCAGAGGGAGGCTGAACTCAGAACCAAAAGTGACTGCAAGAGCATACGCCCTCTGGAAATGCTCAGAAGCCCCAGAGAGGGGACCAGAGTTTCCAAATAACCTGCAGTCTGGAGACTGAGCCAGTGTATTTCCATTTGAATGGATAGTTTGACCTCAGCATAAATCCAGGTTGTAAAATGTAAACAATTTTCCTTATCACAAGATTTCTCCGCGCCCTCAATATGTAATGCACTTTGTGAATAGACATGTATTTATTACTCTTGAAACTCCTTTTTATTTCTCCACAGAGCATCTCATAGACTACCCAGTAGTCCTGTTACACCCAGTGGGAAGAGCTTGTTTCAGGGACACCTGCCCAGGCGGCACTGTCCCAAGGGGACCCCAGTGACCAGGCTAACTCTGCTTCTTCCCAGGGAGGGTGCAGAATAGCCATTAGGCTTTCATGTGGACAAATGGGGTGGGTGGGCCCAGCCTGAAGCCAGGAGCCCCCTCTACCAGCCTTGATTTGTGCTCAACAGCCCCAAATTCCTAGGGAGGTAGCAAAAGACATCTCTCTGGGGCAGCAGCTCAGCTGGGAGCAGTGTTTCCCCTCCCCAGGGTACCTTTGAAAATATCTGGAGACACCGTTGATTGTCACTACAGGGTGGGACTACCGGCATGTAATGGGTAGAGGCCAGAGATGCTGTTAAACATTCTACAATGAACTGGACAGCACCCCGCCCCCAAATAGAATTACCCTGCATCGGATGTCAAAGGAACCACACTCAAGGGTCTTCCTGGGGCTCCTGTGAGCCTGCCCCAGTGCTGGCTCCTATAGATACTAGAAGATGTTGCCCAGGCACCATGTGCCATGGTGTCTCTGACGGCGGTAAAAGGAGCACCACACAATGATTAAGAAACCTCAGCCACTAGAAGGGATGACCAACCATCCTGACTTGCCTGACACTGTCCCCTTTACTACTGAGAGCTCTAGGTTCCAGGGAAGCCTTGGGTCTGGGCTAGGACCCTCTCGGCCTCTCCGACAGTGAACTAGCCTCGGTGGTTCTAGAGCCAACAGCTGCCCTTCCAAGTCAGGATGGGAGAGTTCTGGACATTTCCAGCGAAAGCCCAGAGGGAAGTGAGTTGTACACTTCAAGGAGGCCCAGGTCTGGGCACTAGACAAAGTCCCCCAGCTCGTCCTCAAAAGAAGTTGTCCACATCCCCACCCGGGTGGGGGTCGCTGTCTTCCTCTCCTGGCCAGCGACCTGCGCCACAGCTCCTGCTTGCACCATGCTCAGTGCGTGTTGCTGAAGAAGTGAATGAATACTGCTCTTCTAGAAGATTCTTGGAAAATTCCATTAAGTAGGCTGAGGTGCTTCTCCACATTTGGCCATGTGGCAGCTATTTCTCCCGGGAACACATAATTCGGCAAGGCTCTGAGCAGCCCCCAAACGCGGTATATGTTTTAACAAAGGGGGGGATTTGGAACATGAAATGCTTTACAAAGTCCTGAGAGAAATCTCTGTGGACTGAAGATGAGGCTCACTTGTTCTCTTAACGTCTCTGTCAGAGGATAGAAAAGCCGAGCTTCTCAGTGCCCAGCAGGGAGGGGTACTTTATTGCTGACTATTTAGAATTATTGGTGCATGGTGAGAGTAAAAAGCAGACTGCCTAGCTCGGCCAGTGTGGCTGAGTGGATCGAGTGTCATCCCGGGCACTGAGAGGTCACCGGTTCAATTCCCAGTCAGGGCACATGCCCCGGCTGCAGGCTCAATCCCCAGTAGGGGGCGTGCAGGAGGCAGCCCATCAATGTTTTCTCTCCCTCTCCTTCCCTCTCTCTAAAAATCAATAAAAAACTTAAAAAAAAAAAAAAAAGCAGACAGCCTTTATTTGGTTTTCTTATTTTAAATCCTCTACAGACAAGGCATCCCTTTAATGCATGCTTCCAGGGTGCACAGGAAGCCCCCATCACCACCTGCCCACCCCTTCTCCATGTTCCCATCAGCTATCAGTCTTGGCCGTTGACTTACCACGTTAAACTTTTGTCAACTTAAGAAATTTCCCTGAGTCCAGGTTTGCTCATCTATAAAACAAAAATAATTATGACAACCTCATAGATAGGTATTATCTAATGATAAGAATATTCTGCAATATTCTGCTATAGAAAATGTAAAGAATCATTATTGCCCTGGTCAGTTTTGCTCAGTGATTAGAGCATCAGCCCGCGGACCAGAGAGTCCTGGGTTCGGTTCCCGCTAAGGGCACGTACCTTGGTTGCAGTTTGTCCCTGGCCCCGGTTGGGGTCATGTGGGTGGCGACCACTCAATGTGTCTCTCTTTCTTCTTCCCTCTCTCCCTCCTGCTCTATCTGAAGATAAATGCAAAAATGTCCCTGGGTGAGGATAAAAATAAAAGAATCATTATCAACTGATTACATAACAACTGATTATGTTATAAGGAGTTATTTGTCACTGATGAGTTGAATGGACTAGATCAGCAGGATTATTTTGCCATCTTTAGAAGATAATGGTCATTATCAGTTAACACATTTTTTTTCTTTGAGAACTTGCTTCAAGTATCATTTGGCAACAGTTCCTCATAAACAGGAACTCAACAAAATCAATCAATCA